TAAACAAGCAGATTACTCTTGCAGTGTGAGGATAGGAGGATAGCCCCACTGCAAGGATTAAGTTTTCAAAATTCTGGAGTTCTGCTTTAAACATCCAATAGGCCTAGAATGAGTAATGAAGTATGACTGTTTGATCGGATGCTTGCCAGTCTGCAGGAATATCCAGTGACATCATTCACCATATATGGACTTGCCCATTTCTGGTAAATGATGGAGAGAGGGATGGCTCTTTATCCTCTCTCTCTCCCCCTGTGTTATGCTGACATCCTAATTACTGGGGATCGCTGATGAGAGAGGGGAAAGAGCACTGAATGTGCAGGGAGGCTGAGTCCGTCTCTTGCTGCTGCCTTCTCACTTCAGACTCCGCCTCCCGCTCACAAATGCCAGCGTGCACGAGCTGACAAAACACAGCTGTGCACGATGAGAGGAAGCACGACCACAGCAATGAGATCATTTGAAAAAAAAGCCGTGGGCGGGCTGGATCAAATGTTAACGCCCCCTAAGAGGAAAGGAGCTTGGAGCAGGGTTAAAGACGGCCATTTACTACAGGCTTTGAGGGTTTTATCTGTGATGTGCTGCGACTTTAGAAAAAAGGAACAATGCTAATACAATCAAGGTAAGGGGTATTTTTATTTGCTCTTAAGTCATAGTTCTCCTTTAAGTGCAGCTTGTGTTGGTTTGTCATCAGAGCTGGAGTCACAATTTTGCTTGTTACTGCAACAGAAGATAATGCACTGGTGATAATTCTAAATTATGGATGAGCTGCGTAAATGAATTAAACATTGGCAGTAGACTGCTGTTCAGCTCACCTTCCCAGTCTCTCCGAACTATATATTAAAAAAATAGGATGAAGTTTCTTATATAGATAGATCTATAGATATATATCTCTTTAAATAATTCACCTGTTTCAAGTTGTGCTCACTAGCATGCCAGTTTGTAAAATACTCCAACAGGACATTTTGCACATCATGAGATTTCTGTTACACTGAAGCATGAAATTGTCATCCAAGGTAATGTAATGCAATCTCTGTAAATTAAAAAGAGAGGCAGAAGGAACAACTGTCAGTTGGCATGGCTTTTATCAGTTTATGCAGGATAACATTTTCCTGGTAATGGGAACATATGGTACTCTGGGTTTGATTTGCTGGTGTCCTCATCTATTTGAGCTATGATGAATTGCCTAGTATGTCCGTCTCCGCATCTGTGTATGCTTTCTATGGAGGGTCTTTTTTCTTCCCTGCTGCCAGGAATATTTGCACAATTTTGACACATAGATGTGACTGAAATTACCATGGAGTCTTGGGTATTTCTCGGTGCACCCCAGAGTTGTTAAGCTGCATATGATGTAAGGCACATTATTCATCCTTGAGATCATAAATACATGTAACTGGACTGGAAGCTGTCATTTAATTTTAAAACCCTGTGCTATGCATGAAGAAAATCATTGTGCCATCTCGTGTTATTAGTTGGAGTGAATAATTTGATATAATAGTATGTTATGTTTTTTGTAGCACCTGTTTAAACTTTTTTTTTTTGTTCTTCAATGTACGAAGGTTCAATATGGAAATTATCTTTGGTGAACTGAGAAAATATTGAATAAAAGGTAGAATGTAAAATAAAACTGAAAACAAACAGAAAAGCAAGGACATGTCTTTTAGGCATAAAGGGAAAAGTAGTAAAATTATTTGTAATATGGATTTTGAACTTTTTCCGTCTTAATTGAGAGGGCTCATGCACACGGACATATGCTTTTTTTTTTTTTTGTAGGACTTGCTGTCAGCAAAATAATACATCCATACACTGTCTTGTCAGTACACTGTACATGTGTAACTTATATGTTCACATTTACATGCATACAGTGCAAATGTGCACCGTTAGTATTGGAAGGATGTTAGTCGGCAAGGAACTCTGTCCTAGCAACAATTAACACTCGACGGCAAAAGTCATCTGTGTCATAGCAACAAATGACACTAGACAGTAAGAGTCATCTGTGTCAGCAACACATGACACTAGGTAACAAGTCATCGGCGTTATAGCAACAAATGACACTAGGTAGCAAGAGTCATCTGTGCCCTAGCAATGAAACACTGCTAGGATGCAGCCACCTCTAATAACAGCTACACTGGAGAGCGGTACAATAATGAGTGTCTGCAGTGTGTGAAGCATGGCAGCGGTTCCTTGCAAGCCTGGGGATGCATTTCTGCCTAGTGAGTTGGAGATTTGGTCAGGATCAATGGTGTCCTCAATGCTGAGAAATACAAGCAGATACTTATCCATCATGCCATACCATCAGGGAGAGGTGTGATTGGCCCCAAATTTATTCTGCAGCAGAGAACAACCCCAAACATGCAGCCAATGTCATTAAGAATTGTCATCAGCGTAAAGAAGAACAGGGAATCCTGGAAGTGATGGTTTGTCCCCCCAGAGCCCTGATCTCAGCATCAAGTCTTTCTGTGATTACATGAAGAGTAGGTCTGCAACTAACAATTATTTTCATAATCGATTTAGTTGGCCAATTATTTTTTCGATGAATCAAATTAAAATAATTTAATCTTTTATGTAAAATAAAATACAAAAATACATGGTTTCAGTTGCACCGCACATTTCAGTGCAGGCAATCACACTGCAGGTGGTAGACATTTTTGGGGTGCCACTGAAATGAATGGCACTGCAACACAAATCGTGCAGCTTAATTTGTCAGGCAGTCTCTCTCTCTCTCTCTCTCTCTCTCTCGTGAGAGAGAGAGAGAGATGATTTTTTTTTATATACCAGATTTTAATGCAAAACAAGTTTACTGAACTTTACACAGCTGTGTGCATGGGCCCATAGAAAACAATCCACAGATCCACAATATAAAAAACTAAAACTTTTGAAATGTTTCCCATGGAAATATTTTGACATAGGTGCCCCCCTAAGTGTGTAAAGGCCTTTTTATATTTGCATATAAAGGTTCTGAACATGACAATTGTTTGCTTCATGTGACCTAGCAAGTCACATCTTTGAGGCTTCATGATTACCACAAGACATGATTTCTAATAAACCCTTAATACATTTATCTCTTCAAACATTAACATTTAAATCTTGCCCTTATTTAATTATGAATGCAAAGTGTGTTTCATTTTTATGAGCCAGTGTAACCTTTACTCTCATAGTACACCTTTGCAGGAACATCCCTCAGGCATAAACGTTTTTAACATGCTTATACAACTCTACTGTTTTAATGTAGTACTCAAAGCAAATATACCAAGTGAATCTTTATTCTATCTATGGATCTAGTCAGAAATCATCACATGTATTTAAATCTTGTTGTTGTACTTACCTGATATCTAGCTGCCCATTATCCTCTGCACAGCATATACAAGAATGAAAGTAGGAAGTGATGCACTTTGAGCTGGCCAGCCTTTGTTGCATTGCACAGTATCGTCAATGCAATTGTTTTAAGAAAAAAAAGTCCTGTATCGCTGTAAACAGCCGGCAATGGCTGTTTAGATACAAGTGATCCAGCGGCTGTATTGCTTGTATGGTGCAGTGGAATGTGCCCCCCCGACGGCTACCCCAGGTTCCGCTGTTCCCCGTGTGGGCCCGGTACCGGCACGGCGGGTTTCACCTCATTGATAGGAAAGAGTTCAGAAAGCTCCTAGCAGCTGATCTCTCCTCCGATCACTGGACCTGGAAGTGTGTATTACACCACATCGGGTGTCACTGTTTACATTCTCCAGCTACTGCAGCCATGAGAAGAAGATGGTGAAGCAAATTGCTGCATAATCAGCTTCTTTGGAGTCTCTGGTTGACATTAGGGGTCTCATGAGTAATCTCATGAGGTCTTAGGGAAAGGTATTTTCCTCCCCTGAAATGATGTGCATGGTCACATGTCCTAGTCACATGTGCCAGATTTTCAGGAAGTAAAGAAGTAAAAAAAATACAAAGCCTGCAATTATCTAGAAGTATGTGTTTGTAGATTGCCATTACTAAACATGTCTAAAGGTGTGTTTGTTGTTATTTTATAGATATATGGATAAAGTTCCTCTTTAACAAGCCATGTGCTATTTATAATAAAGAAAAAAACAATAGTGATAATAAATCAGCTGTCTTTTAGGGACCACTGCTTCCTGTGCTTGGTCCAGAGACTGGAGCATGCCACAAAATGTGCTGGGTTCTTTAATCAGTGTTAGATGAAACAGATCACAAGCTACAGACGCCTTAGAAGATCACACATCAGAAAACAGGCTTTTGAAGACACACAAGCATGGGGTCTCTTTTGTAACATTAGTGCTAAAGCCAGAAGGAGGGTGTTTGTTTCAGTTTGGCTTCATATAAATGATCTGTGGCCCAGAGAAGATGACAGTGTTTCTGGATCATGTTCAGATATGGCTGCTTCTTTGCATGATAGAGCTTTAACTTGCATTTTTGGATGGCACGGCGAGCTGTGTTCACAGATTGATTTTTTAAAGTATTTCTGAGCCCATGCAGTGATGTCTGAGGAC